CGAATTCTTTGAGTCGAAAGGCAATAACGGAGTTGAGGTCCTTAATAGCCAGGATGAATTTATATGATGATTGTACTCTGTTAGCAGAATTGCAAGTTAAACCGGCCTTGGTTGATGAGATCAAAGCTAAACAATCTCTTGATAGTTCATTACTTTCCATTTTGAGAAAGTGGAGCAGTGGACAACCTCATATTTCAATATTGACCAGGATGGAGTATTATGCTTCAAAGGTCGATATTGTGTGCCTGAAAATACTAAGTTGAGCTAGATTATCCTTAATGAGGCTTACAGTAGTCCATATGCTATGCACCTCAGTGGAGATAAGATGTACCAGAATTTGAGAGAGATATCATTGGATTGGCATGAAGAAAGACATCTTTGATTTTGTGGCTAGATGTTTGACTTGTCAGCAGGTTAAGGCAAAACATCAATATCCATCAGGTTTGTTGCAACCTATCAAGATTCCTGAATGTAAATAAGATCATATTACTATGGATTTTGTTACTGGCCTACCTATGACCCCTTCGAAAAAGGATTCAGTCTGGTTAATTGTTGACAAACTTACAAAGTCAGCCCACTCAATTCCTGTGCTGGTAAATTATACGTTGGACAAGCTGACTAGGTTGTATATTTTAGATATTGTCAAATTGCATGGTGTTCTGTTATCTATCATTTCTGATCGGGATCCGAGATTTACTTCGAGATTTTGGAGGGCGCTGCATATGGCTTTGGGTATGAGATTGGATTTTAGTACAACATTTCACCCACAAACTGATGGTCAATCTGAGAGAGTAATTCAGGTTCTGGAGGATATGTTGCGGGGCTATGTGTTGATTTTCGTGGTAGCTGAGAACTTTTGCCTTTGGTTGAATTTGCTTACAATAATAGTTACCAGGCCAGCATTCGTATGGCACCCTATGAAGTACTCTATGGGCGTAGATGTTGCACTCCGATTTGTTGGATTGAGTTGCGTGATCGAAAGACTTTGGGACTTGAGTTAGTGCGCGAGACGAAGGACACAGTCAGATTGATCAGTAACCGTCTGAAAGAGGCATTTGATAGACATAAGTCTTATGCTGATCAGAGGAGAAAATATATCCAGTTTGAGGTTGGAGATCATGTCTTTCTAAAAGTATCCCCGTGGAAGAAAGTATGGATATTCGGGCATAAGGGTAAATTGATTCCAAGATTTATCAGATCATTTCGTATCTTGACGAGAGTAGGACCTGTTGCATATCAGCTTGAGTTGCCTCCTCAGCTCAGTCATATTCATGATGTCTTTCATGTATCTATGTTAAGGCGATGCCGTCCAGATTCAGTTCACATTATTCAGGTTGAAGAGGTAAAGTTGAGACCTGATTTGTCATATGAGGAAGAGCCCATTCAGATCTTAGAAAGGGATGAGCGAGTTCTTTGGAACAAGAGTATTCCAATGGTCAAAGTTCAATGGAGTAAAAGTTCAATAGAGTAACTGTGGCCCTTCAGAAGCTACTTGGGAGACATTGGAGTCAATGGAGGCTCAATTTCCTCGTCTATTTTCATAAAGTAAATTTCGAGGACGAAATTTCTTTTAGAGGGGGAGAATTCTAACAACCTGAAAAAGAGAAAAAATATTATAATTAAATCAATTAGGTGAAAAATTTTGGGTCAAATTAAAACTTTTCAAAACTTATAGGCTATTTTAGAAATTAAAGGAAAGTCAGGGACCAAGCCCCAAATTTTTTCTTTTAGTGTCGGCAGAAATTTTTGTTATATACGTGTTTTCTGTTTTCAAAACAGATTTGCTCAAATTCCTCTCCCGAACCTCTCCTTTTAAACCTAATCCCGATGTCGTCCGACCACCGATCGTCGATCCGAAACCACTATCGTGTTCGTCGTCGACTGATGAAAAAAATCCCGTAAATTGATCGTAGTGAAACGCTGTCAAACGTCGTGAATTTCGATTCAAAGTTTCGACATTTTTTTAACACCGTCGCCGTGAAAATCGTCAATTCATCGCCGATCGTTGCTCCGTTTTTGACACCTCCCGCACCATCGTGTTCCTTGTATCGTTCTGAGTCCATCGGTGTCCTCCTTGCTCCGTTGTCGCCGGTGCATGAGGGAGGTGAAGTATTCAAAGTTTTCGACGTTTTGAAATCGAGCTCTCCACCGTTCAAAACTTTAAACCGAGCTTGGTAAGTGTCTCAAAATCGCTTAAAATATTTTGAGAATTTTTCGAACACCATAGGACTGTTCATGCGCTCCCACGTGCCGCCCCTGCGCGTGGGGGAGCTTCGAAAAGGATTGGGGCAGCTTTGACCCATTTGACCCGACTCGAACCGTTGACCCGACCCATTGATCGTTGACCGACCTTTGACTTTGACTTTGACCAAAAAGTTAAAATTTTTGAAAAGACATGTTTTATGTTTTACGATGTCCTGATCCTGATTCCGCAGTCCGTTTTGCCAAATTCGAAGTTGAAAGCCTCCAAATTGTCAGTCAAACCCAAAAATGCATATGCACTTAAGAGTTTTAGCTTTAAATGATTAAATTAAGACTTGAGGCTGATTAGTTATTGTTATTTAAAGGTACAAAAGACTCTCATGATCGCTCAATAGCTCGACCCAGCTCCTCTAAATCCGTTAGACCGTGTGTGCCAGTATTCACTCGTATGACCCGTAAATCTTACTATTTCATAAATTAATTATGTTACCCACTAGTAATGTAGTGTTATTACGAATTAGGTTCAAAAACTATAGCAGAGCGTGGCGAGGCCAATACTCAAATTATCGAGGTGTGTTCCCTATATATATTACTTAAGTATTTTATTTGTTTTAACATGTGGTACACTGAAATCTATGGTTACTGTTTTATTGATGCACTGATTTAATGGTGATGGCTTATGGATTATGATTGCTAGCTGATTATTGGTTTACAGTGGTATATGATTACCATGATTAAGGATTTATGGAAATTATGTCACTGTATAAATTGTGTTTTTGAGATACTGATTTATAAAGTACAACTCTGATCAAACTGGAAAATTTTTATGGACCTAATGTGACTCTTAGGTAGGCTCTACGGCCCTGAGATCATTCTCGGGTAGGCCCTGCGGCCCTAAGATGTGTTCTTAGGTAGGCCCCGTGGCCCCGAAACTTTCTTGGGTAGGCTTTCAGGCCCTAAGAGTTCCCTTAGGTTGGCTCTTTATACAATGGATTTTTAAACTACGAGTTTAAAAAAACTACACTACATTATGATTTATGAGATTTACTAAACTATGACTTGTTTAATGTACCTATCATGATTTTATCGTAATGTTGGGACACATTGAGCCTAGCTCACTTTTCAAAATGTTTTCCCCTTTCAGATACCTTCGGTTAGATACCCAGGATCAAGCAGTTGGAGGATAGGCGCATTTCGTATAGTCCCTCTGAATGTAATTTTTATCTTGCAAGTTGACTTTATTATTGAAACATGAGCTTTTATTTCGAAGTATTTGATTTTATAACTACTACTGCTTTTGCTATTGATATTCTAGATTTTACAAAAGGTTTTAAATTAATTTGTTACTTTTTAGTTTTATATTCATGAGTTGGGTTTTTCTTGTTAAATTATTATACTTTTATAAATGTCATTTGTAACATGTTTTTAATTATCGAATAACATTTTTAGAAAAATGTCTTTAAGAATCATTAATATAATATGCTAAATTTGGTCGAAACGCATAGGCGGGGTATAGAGGGTTACAGAGTATGTCTTAAAAGTAAATCCAAATCAAACCAAAACCACATTTCCTGATAGTCTACACAAAAGAAGAAATTGGCTGTTTAAGTTAGCAAGCAACTATACATGGTCAAATAGCGAACTTGAAAATTAAAAAGAAACTATTAACATTTTCTTAATTTTGTGAGCCACCCTTGATGCTTGATTGCTTGATCGACCCAACCATGGTCCTTCAAGAATTGATGACTGATTTGTGACACAATCCAAGTGAATTGTGGATTCACATGCTGGGCAGTAGTGAAACCAGTGGTCTGAATTTCTTTCCTTCTTACAAGCTTCACAATAACTTTTATCCAAAAAACTTTTATCAAGAGAATCATAGGCGAGCCTGAGAGGATGCTTATCGTACTCGTACGAAATGTTCTGTGTTAGCAAAATGCTGCTGAGTGAAGTTGCAATCAAAGCATCTGTAGCTAGTAGAATAGCCAAAATTACCACAACCAGAACATCTAAACTCATAATTGCAAGACAATGGCTTCATTACAAGATTGAGAGTACGTGGATGGGATTCATGGTTAACAATGATTGGTAAGTATTCACCTTTCATGTTGGTTTGAAACAGGGGATTGTGGCAACTATCTGAGAACTCTTTGCCTTTGTATTCACATATCCTGTCATTACAAGAATTTTCTGTATTTATTTTCTTTTATGAAGTTAACATTTTAAAGAATCTGAAAATCATAAAAAGAGAATATGGCTACAGACTGAGCAGCAGCAACATGCTTGAGTGGTGCAATTCAACCTGCAACGAAAAGGTATGTCAATTTATATAACTCTATGCAAAGCAACTGCATCACCCTGATAAAGTATACCGATCAAGAATTGAAACGGCAGAAGATCTACTTACTACTTGCTTTCTGATTTAGAGTTCCAGGGAAACCGAAGCCAAAACTCAGTCTCTTCCTCAGAAGTCGACATCCTGCAGGCTGCAAGGACCGAGATAATATTGAAATTGAAAGGTGAAAGAATGGATTGTGTAACTACGTATACATTACCAAAACAAGGATATTTTCAATACTCATACCTTCTTCAATGATGGCCTTTCATTAGTAAGTATCCTTGAGCTGGAACTCTTCAATGTGAACAGCCTATGAAGTAGACGGACGTAATTAGTCTAGGAAAATACAAGCTTAAGGACTCGTTCTATTGCAACATATTCAATTATTTGCATCCACTCGTTGCATTCAACAGATTCAAAAGTTCTTGTTATTACTTTTTAATCAAACACCTACAGAAGATTAGTAATTTGCAAAATGAATCCTCAGGCAATTAGTTGGCTGCTTCTGCCATATCTTTCTCCAGTTTCCCACACCTATGATGGTCAGTTCATCTAAGCAAGGGAATGCCACCTACAAAATTCACTTTATTGTGTCAATAACCGGAGGTAATATTAATGAAACTGAGAATAAAACAATGGAATTTACGACTAAAAATTACTAGAGAAAACAGCATCCACTACATGAACAGGGCAATCAAATATTTAAGGAAAAAGAAGATACAGAGAAAGGTAAGGGAGTATCACCTTTTGATCGAAGAGAGTCAGAGAGGGAATCTCCGAGTTGATTCCTTTTGCACCGGAGACGAATGTTCTTAGTGTAGGACAACTTTCTATACTAAGACTTGTCAACAAGGGGAATTCAAAGTAATTTCCATGGCAGAATCTAGTCAGTTTAGGAAGGTTTTTGAGCAATAGAAATTCTAGTACACGAAACTTCTGGTTCATCATTTCTTCTTTGGCTAATCCTTCCAAAAAGATCAAATTTTCCACATTCTCACAGTTTTCGACCGTTAGCTTCTTGAGATGCACAAAACTTTTAACCATAGAGGACGAGAATAGGCAGTTCAAATTATGACAGCCCCTAATAGTCAAGCATGTTAAATTTTGGGCATAAGAATGTGTGGCCAGAAGCTTGTGTTTCCATGCTCGCTGAATGCTGATTGAAGATAGCTCCAAATCCTCCAAGCCCGGGAAAACCTGCATACAATATATATAGTCTTGAATGTATGGAGAAAAGTTTCACTTTTTGATGGATGTGAAAAGTTTCACTATTCATCAACTACATTATGCACCAATCTGTGTAATTGTTTTCATAGTATTTAGTTTGGAAAAATCAAATATTTAAACTCAATTTGCAATTTTATCCTATAATTTTTATTCAGAAATGTTAAATTGTTTATCCGTATGATGAACATTAGAACTTCTCATCTTATAAAATTTTACCATTTTTCTTTTGAAATGGTTCATACCTTTTCTACAAACAACTGTTGAATGACAGCATTAAGGTCGCCTTCCCAGAGCCCTACATATTCACCTTTAGTTGATTGTAGTCCATGAAGCTTTGGTGTGCTTAACTTTCCCTTTGTGAAAAGTTCCATCTTTGGACAATGTCTCATGATTACTTCTTCCAAGGAAGGAAATACTAAGGTATAATTCCCTGTGCAGAACCTTGATAGGATTGGAAGGCGATCAAGTTCTAAAGACTTGAGTTGGGAGAAAACGATGCCATTCATGAGTTCATCAGTTGTTGAAGCTATGATTTCTTTTAACATTTGGCAATATATAACACACATTCTTGTGAGTTGGGGAAAATATAGGTTTGGAAGTGCTCCATGCCATATCTCCTTCATATTTCTGTTCCGAATCACATGTAATTCTTCTAAATTGGGGAATGCTTCCTGAAAAATTTGGAAAAATGTATGTTCAATAAAAATTGTCTAAACTGATGCCATATCCCCTATTTTACCTCAATTTTATAGGTTCATCAATTGGGTCCAATCGCAAACTTCATCAAGACTGAATTTATGTCACAAATTCTAACAGATGCATATGTATTAAGTTAGTTTTGTGAACTGTTACCTCAGTGACCCAAAACAGGGGTTGTTGAACAGAGATCAGAGGTTGGCTCTCTCCTTGTGTTTCTCCAAAGTTGATATACCCCCTAGCCAAATTCTCTACTTTGCTGCAATCACTCACCACCAATTTTTCCAAGGATGGCCATTCCGTAGTATGCACCTTGGAGTAGAAACCCTTCAACTTGGGTAGCACTCCAAGATACAACTTTGTTATTTTAGGAAACACAAACTTGGTGATTGATTTGAGTTCGACCGATTGGGCGGATGTCTCTGCGTGTGAGTCATTGGAATTGCGTAAGTGATCGTCATCAGGTCCAATTATTTCTTCAACCGACTTACATTCCTCTATTACCAGAGTTTCTAGCTTTTCAAGTCTTTTCACCACACTAAAAGGTAAAATATTTGAAACTCTTTCACAGTCTTTCACCAAGAGGAAGGTCAATTCATTAAATGAATTCATATTGGGTTTATCGTGCCATATCTTTCTGCACTTCCCAATACCTTGAATGGTCAAATGGATCAAGTTAGGGAACACAACCTGCGGAAATTATTTAAGTTAATAAATAATTTGTAGAGGATATATATATATATATATAAAGAGTACCTCAATTTGTAGAGGATATAAAAGGATACAAAAAAAACGAAGAAAATCACCTTTTGGTTGAAGAGGGTTGGGGAACCAGTCTCTGAGTTTTCTCCATGACAGAATGTCCCTAATTTTGGAAGCCTACTGAGCTCCAATAGATTTAGTTTAGTGAACCAGTAAGCCTCAGTTATCCCTTCTTCTTCTGCTGTCGCTTCATCTGTAAAGATCACTTCTTCTAAGTTGTCGCAATCGACAAGGCGAAGTTGAACGAGTTGCACAAAATTTTTTCTTGAAAAGGATGGAAATATATATTCCAAATTGTGGCAACCCTTCACAATTAAGATTCGCAACTTATGAACACTAGAGGATATGGCACTGTGTGGTACATCTGGCCATAATTTCTGGATGTTAGTGGACGATAGCTCCAACCAATCCAAATTGGCACACAAAACCTGCAACCACAATCCTCATTGCATGAATTAATGTGATTGTTAAAAGTCAAAACACTAAACAGAAAATAAGAGAAGGGAGAGACCTTATCATTGAAAAAGGGTGTCTTTTCTCCTCCACCTACCTCCCTTGTACATGCCATTGCGTACATCTTTGGACAGTCATCTACTTCAATTGTTATCAAAGATGGACAATGCAGAGTAATACTTCCCATGCAAAAACTTTTCAAATCTGAACATGACTCCAGTCTTATCTTCACAAGATTTGGTAAGCAGACTGTATCCATCGCAGTTTCCTCTGCTTCTTTCTTGATAATGTACTCCATCATGGGACATTTTTTAACTCTTATATCTCTCAATTGCACAAGTTCCAAGGCCATGGAAACGCTAAATATGTATTTCAAGCTATTACAATTACACTCAACTTCTAAAAATTTGAGGTTCTTGAAATCTACACTTTTCTCCTTCCATATTGACTTGGAAAATTCGGAAAGGATCAAATGACTGATGCCTTGGTACCCAACCTTCATAAAGAAATAAAACAGAGAAACAAGGGTTAAAGTTATAAAGGATTCAAGGTTACAACTAAACAATACGAAAGGAAGAAAGAGATTCAGGAATAAAATAGAATATAGCTAAAGCTAAATTAAATGAATGCAAAATAGTGAATACCTTTTTTGAATGCAACTGTTGGACAGTGCTGTCAAGGTCACCACTCCAATGTTCTTTACCTTTTCCATATTCTACACTTTGCAACAACGGCGCATTTAAAACTCCCTTACAAAATATCTCCAGCTCAGGACAGCCACTCACTATCACTTCCTCTAAACATGGCAATCCAAATGTGTGGTTGCCTGAACAAAAACTCTGAAGTCGTGGTAGATTCACAAGTTCCAAACTTTTCAACCTGCTGAATATAATGTTGCACGTTGCTTCATCTTCCTCACTTCCAACTATTTCCTTCATTGAAATGCATTCTCTTATGATCAATTGTTTGAGTTGAGACAGACCCTGCACTGCTAGACATGTATCTAAGTATTTCATTCGTTCGCATTCCCACACCTTCAAGGTGGTGAGATTTTGAAACGATGCTGAGGATGATCCTAAGCTCATCAGATTCCTACAATGGTGAACTTCAAGAGTTTCAAGGTTGGGTAGAATGCGGTCCACTTGTACGTCTTGCTTCCATAAGTAATGTTTTAGATTGTCAAGAAGTGTCAGTTCTATTTTTCTAATTGTTGACAGTGTCCCATCATACGTCCCCTTATTACCAGCATCTCCTTCGGTATAGAATAACTCTTTGATTTCACAATCAAGGATACAAAGCTCTTCTAGATTGTAGAATCTTTCAAGGAAAGAAATTTGGAAATCATTATCTGATTTATTACGGTTGCCTTCCACCCTAAAAGCTTTTATTTGATGGAAAAGGTTGTTTGGAAATTGACCACCACTTATCATTGCAATGTAATCATCACCGATTTCCAGATGTTGTAGTTTAGGGATGACCTGAAAACCAATCAAAAAACAATTTTGGAGTCACTATGTTCATCTTCCTATGTTAAGATTTAATATTTTAATTTAAAATAAAGCAGAATAGAGTGGGAAAACGGCAAAAACTAGAGTTGATAGAGAAGGAAAAAGGGAAAAAAAGAATTTTATTTTTATAAATACAAATTGGTAACAACGTGTCAAATATCAAATCACTGAATTAATATTTTAATTAAAATAAAGCAGAACATATAGAGTGGGAGCGAGAGGGCTTATACCTTTTCAACCAAGAAAAGTGGTGGTTGGGAGTCAAGTTGTTGGTTGTGAGTGATGAGTTGTGTACCAAATATCTTCATTTCCCCACACTCGTATGCTTTTAACTCTTTTAACATTGGCCACTCTGTGGTATGCCTACCTGGGTAGAAACATTTGCATTCTCGTAGCCCCCAAAGCCAAAGGTAGGACAGCTGATCAAACTCGAAAGTGACAGTAGTTTCCGAATCCAATCCTTCCTCTACTTTGGAAATAATCTCCTCCACTCCACAATGGGCTATTATAAGACCACTGAGTTGTGGGAGATATCTGGCTACTGAGGCTGGAAATACATTCTTCAGACTCGCACAATTCCAAACATATATTCGATGTAGATTTTTAAATGAAAAAATGTCTTTGGGACCGTTTTTCCAAATATATTTCAAGTTTGATAAATGTGAAATGTCGATTTCTCTTAGTTTGGGAAATGAATTTGGTGGAAGTGGGTTCTCCCATATCATCTTCAACTTTGTCAAGAAGGAAATACTCATTTCCTCCAAACTGGAAAATGCAACCTGCACTCATCATGCCAAAATAATGAAATTAGATGCTAGCGCTACAAATACATCTATGACTGCGCGTGTGTTTGCGATTGCATATATATAATTTTGAAGGCACACATTTTGATATATATTTTAAAAATTTGGAGCACATATTTCGTGAAAATCATTTTTGTGGTCTGGATCTTCAGTTATGTTTGCTATATTTAATTTGAATTTTGTATAATGTAATATATAAAAATATTTAATTATATTTGATAATGTGTTAAAATTAGGAACTTATGAATGCTAAAACCAATAATTAAGCTACCTTATTGCCGAACAAAACATGACTACAGATGCGTCGGTTGCCTTCCATTGAAGATCTGTATATGAAACCCTCCAATTCGGGACAGTTGTCTACCGTCAGTGACTTCATGGCTGGAAATTCAATAACTTGAATTTGATAGTCAGAGCAAAATCCAATCAGATGCTGAAGATCCTCTAGCTTTAAAGACTTTAACTGAGGAAATAATGATAAAGTTATAGCAGCCTGGGTTTCTTCTTCTATTTCCTCCATAAAAATGATCTCTCTTAAGCAGTAGCACCCAATTATCTCAAAGTCTGTGAGATGCACTAGACATTTAGCCATAGAAAATGAGAATAGGTGTTTTAAGCTTCCACAGCCCTCGATTTTCAATGTTTTTAACTTCTCATAAGTGCATAAAGATATACTTGAAAGCTGATTGTGCCATACCCTCGTAACATTAATCGACTTCAGCCACAAATTCTCTAAGTAAGGGAACGATATCTACAACCATACAAATGATTTCAGGAAATATTTGAAATAAAAATTTAAAAGACATTGAATTGTAAATACCTTTTTATTGAAAAGTGGCAACTCATGTTGAGGTAATAAGCTGGTAGCACCGGGTTCGTGTTGAGGGCAAAAGCTAATGAGCTTAGGAAGATCATGCAGTGTCAGAGACTGTAATTGAGGAAACCCATATTCATCATTGATAATGTATTCAGTATCTAAACCATTTTGGATATGCAGATTCTTCAACTGCGATATGCTTTCCTCATCTATTAACTCCCGCAATGCAATCTTCACGCCTTTGAGTTCATCCAAATGTAAATCTTCAGTTTTTTTCAACAACTTCTTAATTCCAAGATCCAAATCATCCATGCCTGTGTTTAGCCTCAGTTTTAGGGTTCTTGAATATTGGTAGCTGCGAAACCGCTCCCACTCCCATTCCTTTCCTATAAAAATCTTGCATCTTTCCAATTTCTGCAACACTTGAAAGAAGTCGTGTGGTGTCGCCTTAGCATCCGGGATTTGAACTTCTAAGGTGGACAAACGAGACAGTGCATATAGATCAGCAAGAGTGGCACTGCTTTGTCCCCATTGAATAGAAGTCCCACCCATATAATTCTTCTAATCTTGACAAACTTGACAACACACCGTCTGAAATTGTTTTGAGCTTAGCACAACGACTCACGTCTAACAACTTTAGCTTCACCAGTTGCCCAATTTCTTTTGGTAGAAATCTAATATCAGATTCCAAAAGGCTAAGAATTTCCAAGCTCTTTAGCTCTCCAATAATGCTAATATTATCTCCCAGTTTGCAGTGATCTAGGCACAATGTGTTGAGGCTTGTTAGTAGACGAATTGATGAAGGTAAAGAAGAAAATTGCATTCTAGCCAAAGCTAAGACTTTAAGATTTGTTGCTTTCTTGAAGAAGTCATCCGACGTCAGGAAAAGATCCTTGCTAAACAAAAGGAAAAGAGAAAGTTGTGGACAATTTAACTGGTCAGGAAGACTGTTGAGAGTAGGATATTCCAAACAAATCTTGTTGCACTTTTTCATTGATTCTTCATTTGGCCAATCCATCGTAACATCATCATTTTTCAAGGAAAACACATGACTGTCCTTGGAAGCCATTGATTTGGCCACAATATAAGTAAGATCATGCACATCAAAGCATTCATCATTGGTGTTACTATCAAGCAACAAACAAGATGCTTTCAGGGTACTCATCATTGTTAACAACGCATCTAGTCCTTCTTTCAGGGTGCCCACTCCCTTAATTAAACCCAAACCAATTGCATATCTCAACAAGTCTTCAACTCTAGTGTTACGACGCAATAGACTGCAAAGCAAGAAAACCTGCTTGAGGTCTTCACCCCATAGCTGATTGATACTCAATTCAATAGCAGAATATACCTCAGCAGATATCTCGCTTGGATTTTCTGAGTAAGGCCTCTGTAGCTGTCGTAAAGCCTCATTCCAAACAAATAAACTTCTTTTTTGCAACGCCCTAGCAACTGTGGCAATGGCAAGCGGCAATCCTGCACATCTTTTGGCTACCTCAATTGCTGTAGATTGCAGCTCTTTATCGCTTTCAAAACTGTCCCCAACCATCTTCTTAAAAAACTCCCAGGCTTCTTCTTCATCTAAATCACCAAGCTTAAAAGTCTTTGTAGCACCCATTCCATTGCTTAGAACATTTTCATTTCTTGACGTCAACAGTATCTTGCATCCTTTGTGTTGACTTCCAAATGGAATTCCGACTTCCTCTAGGTCCAGTTTCTTCCAAATATCATCCAGAATAATAAGAACCCTCTTATCCTGATTCTTCCCTTGATTTAACCTTTCACGTAATGTACTAGCTCTTACAACTGTACTCTTTTCTTCGATCTTCAAACCCAAATATTCTGCTATTTCGTCTTGGATTTTCTGAATGTCAGGTGTCCGAGATACAGTGACCCTAACCACCGAATCAAATGACTTAGCCTCCTGGAGTTGTTTATGAACTTCTCTGACTAGTGATGTTTTCCCCACGCCAGGCATCCCGTACACTCCGATCATGCTCACAGTAGAATCTTTCAGTGACTCCATGATTTCATCGACAACCTTTTCCCTTGATTTAAAGGACTCAAAGTCTGTACCCACTATGGGTTGTGGAAGATCACGGTAGCCCACGCTGCTAAATTGACATTCTTTGACAAGCTCATCAAAAGCTGCGGCATCTTCTTCCGCTTTCCTGCTAAGCTTGTGTCGAGACTTGATGTTGGGACAGAAGCCAAAGAAGCACTTGTTTGCTTTGACTTGAAGATCATCCACTTTATCCTCCTCTTCAGCGATAACCTTGTCCACTCTATCGCACCAACCCTGAACATCCGCTTTAATCTTCTGCACGTTCCTTTCTGCAACAAAAATATCTTGCTGCACGCTTGATCTTTTGTCCATCAACTTCTGAAGTTTGTCTTCGAAATTCTTGACGTATCTCTGGTAGAAAACTACATATCTGATATGACGTTTTGCTTCATGAAAGATACCCTTTGCAGTTTCAGAAGAGATATTGGCAGCAGCACCAGTAGCAATTGCTTCCATTTCTTCTTCTTTTTTTCTTTGGGGGAGGTCCGAATGGAAAGCAAACAAACAAAATGAACAATGGATACAATAAAGGAGAATCAAGAAAGAAAATACTGAGAAGAAGCAGGCAAGAAAGAACAACCTTAAAATCAGGGAATGAATGAGACGAAGGTTAATAGGTAAAACTCAACGATGAAATGAAAATTGTGCTGAACACTCGCTCGGAAAACTGAATTTCCAATCAAATTCTGTAACCCTTGGGCTGGATGGTTTCTTTCATAATATTGAAGAAAATGAGGTAGAGAGATAGATTAAAAAAGACTAAGCACTAAGTATTTATTTAGATATGTTTAATGTTTGTTTTGTTGTCTAGTGGATGTTTGTTTGCATTTACCAAAAGTCTTGAAAATATCACACCTCACATGCCAATCGTTTACCAAAAGTCTTGAGAATATCAAAACTCACATCGATTTGATATAAAATTGTCAGATTCTTCCATGGATTTGTTTATTTTCATTCGATAATTTCGCACGTGGAAAAGTGAGAATGGGAGGAAGTTTATGCATTATTACTTGGTGTAAAGTTGGGAGAAAATAAATATTTTTAAAAATATATGTTAAATTTTTTTAGAAATAAATAAAATATTTATCGTTATTTAATAAGTGTTTGTGGAATTATTTTTCTTAGATTGTATTTTAAATACTATTCCAAAATGTATATAATATATATAAAATGCCTTTTTAATATTTTACCTAATTACTTATTTTACAAAAATATAATTATATATATAATAATTATATTTTTAATCAATATAATAGATATATCAAGTAAATTAAAAAAGTGTATAAATGTATATTGTTATATGTAATTATAAAACTTTAAATTTATATAAATGTACAAATTGTATTAATTAACATAAAAATAGCATTTATTAAATTGATCTCTACCATTTTATTTTTTTTATTAATCATGAAATAAATTATTGAAAGATTATAATGATTTTTAAAAATGTTAAAGATAAATTATTATTTGGTGGTTAAATGGGGTGATATTTTATTTAAAAGTTCTTTGTTCGAGTAATTATATCCAGGGACAAAGCTATGTGTAAGGTTGGGCCACTTTCCCCTATTTTTTTATTATTAAAAATTATATAAGGAGAAATATGTATTTAGACCTTCAAATTTTGGTTTATTTTGATTTGCCCCTCCCATTTTGGTTTAGTTTGATTTTACCCCTTTCATTTTCTATTGTTAGTTACATCTTGTCTCTTGAAATAGAATTCTGACTACGTCTGTGGCTGTGTCTACAATGTGTGTATCAATATATGTATTAGATATGTATTATCAATGACTGAAAAATATTCTAAATAAATATTATCTCAATTATCTTAAACTATAAAAAAATATTGAAACATAAAGTACTTCTAAATTTATTATCAATTGAACCCAAGGAATAGCTTCGTTGGTTGTAGGTGTTTTTCCCCATAAGTAGGGGTGAACATTCGATCGAGTGGAGTCCAAAAGTTTCAAGTTATTCGAGTTGACGAGTCTTATTTTATAGTTCAAACTTAACTTGAAAATTTTCCTAATGAAGTCGAGTTATTTGAGTTTCTATACAAACTAAGTTGTAATTATTTATAGTATTATAGTACAATTTTATTTCAATTTTTTTGAATTTCTCTAACCATATACAATGTGTGTGCGTATATACGCACACACATATTTCTTCATATTCTTTTCACATTACAATGTTATTTAATATATCACATACAATTTAAAATTGTAAAATATATTTACAATATTATATTTCAAAGAAGGTATTTTGAGGATAAAAGACTAATGTGAGTATAAAGGAGTCGAAGAATTGATGTGAAAAAAGAATTTGTAAACAATTGTAGCCAAAATACTAAATTGAGTATAATACAAAGTTAAATAACTAAATTAAAAAAGAGAGTACATTTTTAGTAAAAAATAAAAATTGAAATTACATAAGATATTTTATAGTGGTAGGGGAGCATGTGGTTTAAATTTGGTCAAATAAAATGAAGGATGAATTGAAGAAATACGAAAATCATGCAAAATTGAGGGATTAAATTGAAAAAAATAGAAAATTTGTTATCAAAAGTGAAATTGAAAGTACATATGTATTCTATGATGGTTTAGGAGCATGTAGTTTAAATTTGGTGAAATTTTAACTGAAAATGAAGGAGGAATTGTAGGAATAAGATATTAGGGACCAAATCGCAAATTAGTCAAAATACTCATTCAAATTTTTAGTTTTTCTAGTTGCTCAAAATTTTGAAATTTCAACTCGACTCAAATTCGAAACTAGAATTGACAATTCGAGTTAACTCGAATAACTCGAAATTGGAAGGAAAAAAATGATTTTTTTAGTAGAGTCAAGTTTTACTCATCCCTACCCATAAAAGGCATAGGTTCAAGCAATAATGATTGTATAGGCGCGTGTAATATATGAAAATAAAATTCAATTATCATCAAAAATTGAAAAAAATAAATAAGGAAAGAAAGACTAAGGACTTCTCCACTCTTAATCAATTATTATTATTATCTTTCTTTGATTTTAATTTAATAAAAAATTGAAAAGTATAAATAAAGAAAGAAAGACTCAAGGACCTCTCAAGTCTTTATCAATTATTCTTACTATCTTTCTTTAGTTTTAGTTTAATAAAAGAATTGAAAAGTGTAAATAAATAAAAAAGACAAAGGTCCTCTCAAGCCTTTATCAATGATTCTTACTATGTTTCTTTGCTTTTAGTTTAGGCTCAGATAGCATAAGTCCTTATTAACCTTGTCCACTCTATCGCACCAACCCTGGACATCCGCTTTAATCTTCTCCACGTTCCTTTCTGCAAAAATAATATCTTATTGCACGCTTGATCTTTTCTGCAACAATAAGTTTGTCCTCGAAATTCTTAACGTATCTCTGGTAGGAAAGCCCATATCTTATATGACGTTTTGCTTCGTGGAAGATACCTTTAGCTGCTTCGGAAAAGATATTGGCAGCAACATCTGTAGCAATTGCATCCATTTCTTTTTTCTTTTTCTTTGGAGAGGTCTGAATGGAAAGCAAAACAAACAAAATGAACAATAGAGAGACAATAAAGAGAACCAAGAAAGAAAATATAATTACTTATTTAAAAAAATATATAATTATAATTTATAATAATACAAATTATATTTTTAATCAATATCATAGATATATCAAGTAAATTTAAAAAATTTATAAATGTAATTATATTGTTATATGTAATTATAAAACTTTAAATTTATATAAATGTACAAATTGAATTAATTCACAGAAAAATAACATTTATTAAATTGATCTCTACCATTTTATTTTTTTATTAATCATGAAATAAATTATTGAAAGATTATAATGATTTCTAAAAATTTTAAAGATAAATTATTGTCATAATGTCCTTTTTATTTTAAAAGTTTTTTTTTTCTTTTAAAGAAAGTTCATTTGTGTCTTATAGTTTGAAATCATTTAATTTATTTTGGAGTCGCCATCAACTTTTATTTTATTTCTTTAGATTATTGGTCACCTTATTATGCCAGAAGTTGCCATGTTGTGCTGAAGAAGAAATGGCTTCAGAATCGTAATCGACATGATAATTGGCCTGTAATATTCATTCCATCGTATGTTTAACCAAGATAAAATTACCATCATCGATTTCAAAATCCACTTTTCGAACGCTAGAACCAGCTTGGTAGAAGGAAGACTGATAGGAATGACATATTTGAAGCATATATATGTTTCACCTGTGGAATTGTACTCATATTAGGTGTTGGAACATGTGTGAATCCCAATCAGGTCATGTATCTTCTTGGAGAAAACTGTCGTTCTAGCTCAAATATACTAAACTCTACCGGATCACATCCTATCCCCCCTTTAGCACCATCGTATTATTGGATATCGGCGACTACAGTCTTCCATGTCATTAGGTGTGCTAAAGCATTCACTTGATCTGGCTCAACCAATACATAAATTATTCGAAGGATGATCGAAATCCATAGTAAATAAAGATAACAGATCTTTTTACTCTTATTCTTTCAAGCATGTTGCAGAAGACTGCAAAGAGCGAAACGAAAACGATCTCGGGGTGATATCTGATTCCTCCTTTCATGAGTCCTATTGCATTGTCATATTAAACCTTGAACCCAGGGATCTAAATAGCGGTCGTTATATAGCGGAGACCGGCATTACCAGATAAATGAGTAGTCGATTTTCAAAGGAATGTCCAAACAATTTAAATAGCTGTTTGCTTAAATTTCTGTTGGTTGCTGCCAGTGAATTCATTGTTGTTCTTAGGGGCAGATTCAGAAACTAAGATATGAGAAAATGATTATCAAATATATATAAAAAAATATATATTATTTGGATAAAGTAGGATATCATGGGGGAAATTATAAAAAAAACAATCTAACTCTTAAAATTAAAAATATATGATCATAAAGGGTTAAAGTCTACTAGAAGTTCCTCTACTACATTAAAAATCCATTTTAGGCCCTTTACTAATAAAATAGACATTTTAGTCCTTGTACGTTTGAAAAGTGAATATTTTGATCTAAACTTAGTTTAACAAAGATAATGAGTTTAAACATTCCTTAGATTTCTATCAATTTAAAAATCAAGTGAATTGATCAGTCTAAGAAAAATATAATTTCGTCCATCTATAATTCCATCCAATCATAGTAATACACACGTCTATATTCTAGTGAAAAACAGTAGTGCTGTCATGGATATATTTTATTTGTTGACTTTTGAAAAGTATTTGGATTAATTTTTTTTATTTTTGAAAATGATCAATTTATTTAATTTATAAATTGATAATAACTTTAAAAATATTTAAACTAATATTTAAGTTAAACTACACCTGCAAATTCGCTTCGACCTCCTGAGCGCAAATCCAGCCTTGATTTCACTAGAAAAAGCTCTAAACTTGACAAATCGATGTCAGAATTCTTTGATTTCTTCACCCTTCAATCTCTATCGTT